TGTCTGTGACGAAGCTGCAGAGAAGCTGATGATGAGATGACAAGCCCGAGAAAAGCATGGACAGCGATATTATGTATATGTACATAGAACAAAGATGATTATATTATACAAGCCTTTCTAAATCATGATCTCCAACTAGATCTCATGCTTAAAACTCTTCCTCGGGAGCTTCACGTTCCTGCTCCCATTCCGGCAGATCACTAATGGGAATCCGCTCGCGTAAGAATTCCAAAATCGCATCGGTTCCTTTAGCAACTACTTGCCAGCGAGGTACTCGGAATCGATTGCCGGCCACCTCAAAACGTCTCAAGGCCGACCCATTGCCCCAGTTCTGAGGGGAGCGTCCAGCAGCGAGCAGGCCAATCTTTGGGGGAAGCGAATCAAGGTCATTGTTGCTTAGCTCCAAAACCTGCAACCCTTTTACGGCTTCGAAGTCCAAACTAGCGATTTGGTTGTCAGAGGCCACAACGGTCTTGAGCTCTGGATAAGTCTGCCTCAGATAAGGGAGTGGTCCCTTCAAACGATTGTGCGATACATCCAAGAAGGTCAAAGATGGGGCTACTAGGTTGGACAAGAGAGGCTCCCATGACGTCAAGCCACCCGTGTTTAAAGTCAGCGACTGGAGCTTTGGCAACACAAGCGGGGAAGACAAGAAGTCAGCGCCACTCAATGGGTTGTGTGAAAGATCAAGCTCAACCAGACACTGCGCAAGCATTCCGATTGCGGGGGCCGGGAAACAGCTCAGTTCATTGTGCTGTAGATAGAGACATCGAATGTCTAGCGAGGGAATCATCTCCAGCTGTTCCACCTTAAGGTCGGTCATTTCGGAATAAGACCTGTCAAGAGTCCCACCGGATTTAATCTGCCAGCTGCCATCGAGTGCGGGATTCTCAGGCGCTAGAGTGAATTGCGTGGCCACTGAGCCCTCGTCATCTGTGTCCTGAGGATCAGGCTCACATAGGCTCCGCAAGTCTCGTTTGATATCGTCGGTGTCCATTCTCAGCAGCCTGCGCTCACGAAGTGGGTTATTGGAAACCCGCAAAGAGGCAAGATTTTCCATTAATCCAATCTTCTCATTCAAGCGAGTGAGGGAATTTCCTGTGAAATCGGCCTTCTTGAGGCTTTTAAGCTCCTCAAACCCTTGTGGAAGCTCTGCAATTTTGTTTTCTTCGGCAGACAGCGTTAATAATGACTGCCAAGAAGTCATGCATGGGAGATGCGTGATGCGATTGACACCGATCAGGAGAGTATGTAAATTGGGAAGTTCAAGCGCGTCATTGGCTGAGAAGACCATCACAGCATTATTGGCGATATTCAGGGACTGCAATTTCTCCAACTTGTTCACTGATGCCGGTATCAAAGTGCCTTCCAGCTTGTTCTTCTGCGCATTGAGCGTTCTCAGCGGGAGTTTGCTGAGGACCTCGAACGGCAAAGTTGTGAACTTGTTCTCACTGACATCCAGTGTTCTCAGAGAACTCAACCCAACGAGATCATCTGGGAGCTTGGTGAGAGTGTTGCCCCGCAGATCCAAAAACTCCAAGTTAGGAAGACGACCAATTATGGCAGTTAGTTCCCCTTGCAGTTGATTATTCGCAAGTTTCAGATCTGTCAGGGACTTTATTTCTGAGATTATCTCGATCTTGGCCATGTCCAAAGAATTATTGGACAGATTGAGAGAGCGTAAGTTTTGCAGGCGTCGAAGACCCATCGGAAGTGATTTGAGTATATTGCCATGGAGATCCAACGTTTCAAGGGCCCCAAATTGTAGTCCTCGATCATCGCTATCGGGATCAAACTCCTCGGGATCGATATCGGGAAAGGTGTCATCTGAGATCTGTTCCAGCTCATTGTCCGCGGCATTAAATTTAACAAGATCGACATTTTCGAACCAATTCGCAGAGTTCTCTGGGTCGTAGTCGTACATCGTCAACACTTCTTTTGGGATGTCTTTTAAACAAAACGCCGCGATATTCAACTGGCCAGTCGCGCGTGCTGTCTGTACGCGCTTGCGCATTACCAGAGAGTTAGACCCCTTGGCCAGTTGGCTGAAAGGATCATCATCGTCGCCGCCCGCCCACGAATCGAGAGGCGCATCGACGATCGGGGCCTGGTAGACTTGCTTTTCTGGGCTTTCCTTTTTCTCTCCGGCCGCTATCGCTTTACGAGCCGCCTTTGCCTTTGCTATAGTTTCACGTAGCGTACTAGAAGATTTGGAGACTTTTCTTGCTTCAATTTCTGCCTGTTGTTCTGGAGACAGGTCATCAGGCATGCTGGAAGAAGCAGACACATATCTTGAAGCCGTCGACGTGGATCGTAAGGTCGACACCTGCTCTGTTTGAGGTTTTCTTGTTTTCTTCACTTGCAAGGGTCTTTCTGGGGGACCCATATTTGACTTAGCAGGCTTTATGGAGGTCTTTTTGGGTGATGGACGGATAATTGAAGGTTTTCGTATATCCTTGTTCCCAATCGGTCTTTCGGGTATGGTTTTCTTGATCGGCGAACTGACGTCCGTGTGGACACCGTCTCCCGGTGCAATACTTTGTCTGGGCGACGGTCGCTTCAATCTGGAGGGGCTCACGCTGTCCTCAGAGCCCCGGACTGGAGAAAGAGATCCAGCAGTCGACATACGAGCCTCCGAGGGAAGACGCAGCTTCGAAACAGGCTGTATATATAGCTCGTTGCTAGGCGGGGCACAAGAAGATGCCCTCGATGGCGATCGAGAAACGTTGGACACATTGGACGGGGCGCGAGATGGGGATCGTACGGGGCTGCCGCCATTGAAAAAGCTAGACTGCCTTCTCGCCGAAGCCGGTGATGGTGGAATTTGCGCTAGCGTCTCAAGTGTACGCTCGGACAAAGATGGGCGTACTCCACGGCGACCGCGTGCTTCTTGGGTCGATGCAATTGATACAGTGTCATCATCCCAGACAGTCGAGCTGGCCTCTCCTGGAACATGTGTGTCGTCTTCCTTACCTTGGATAGGGTCTTGCTTGAGGGTCGGAATAGGATCATCCTGCGGTTTGGGTGGCAACAAATGGTGTGAGGATGGCTTTTTCACGAGCGTGTTGTGAGATGGTCTTCGTAACCTCCTTTCGTCTAAGCCAGGATCGGCTCGTAGTCTGTCTCGGGAAGGTGAGGGTTTGATCGAATTTGATGCGGTGCTCGTGGGTAAAGGCAATCTTGAAGTAAGTCGTGGAATGCCGCTTGCAGGGCGTGGTATACCACTCGCAGGGCGCGTCGATGTCTTAGGCTGTCCTTCCATATTGGCGTTCCAGTTATTGATGTTGGTCTTCGGTCAGGAGAAAGTCGCACGTCAAGAAATTCGGATGGTCATGTCCGATGATAAGAAGCGGGACAAAGAATGTGGAGGGCGGGGAAAAGTCGCAGTAGCAGTTTCAGTCCTGTTAAGATTGGTTTTTACAAACCCTGGAAAGGATGAAGACCTGGAGGTCTAGAAATCTTTCGGACTAAGCGGATTGTTTACATTTCTAAGGTCTCACAATCCCGCGATCGTCGCCTCAGGCATCAACCAATTGAGTCCTGAAATATTTTGTACCAAGTAGATATAAAACGAATCTTGCATCATCTTATATTATATATTGCCACAGAATATATCTAAACTTGTCTTAGACAATTCTAAGTATGAAAGGCCGTGGATATTGCAATTTGATGGTTATGTGACTTATAGTTGGTCTATAACTTGTTGGCATTTCTCGTCGGATATATACATCAAAGAGCGATTTCACATTGCAAACAGATATCCAGCGCAACTTGATAGCAGCGATTTCAAACCCCCTCTTTTGGCCAGCACAGTTATTACCAGGTGCCAGAAGAGACATATTTCATCGCATTCACTGTTCAGCGTATAGGATAGGAGCATGTGCAGTATGCTGACCCGGGAGTCTACAGAAATAATACTAGGAGCAAACTGTTCCATTTTGGGATTTTGGGCCAAATATTCTTCTATAGTCAGTATCTACATGATACAAGGGATTTGGAACTTTTTCTTATGTTGAAACTGAAAGATATTAGTAGATTCCAAAGACCTGATCCTTGCTTTCGCCGCTGAAGAGAGCTGGTACCGCTGCTTCAAGTACATACAACATAATAAACAAGAGGTGCCCTTGCGTAGTATCTTTATAGAAGCCCCTGCCTGACTGTTCCAACATGCTAGACAGATAGTATTTTTCTCTACATATTGTACATAGGTGGTCTAATTGTTATGCACTGGCGAGCAATTTCAGTCAAGTTTCATATAGGGTGTAATACCTACCTAGATAGTTCTCTTTGTTTACGTTATGCGGGAACCCTAGATTTCCCGCAGAGCATCTAAAGGCCCAAACACACAAATCATCAAGACTAAAACATCTCCGTGATATCATACATCATAAACGGAGTAGGGAGTCTGGATCTATGATGCTTATCGGTTGCCTGCCCAACCCCCCAGTGCTTGTCCGGTCGCGGGTGTTTACTTGCCCTGAGCGTCCCGTGATCGCCAGACTAACTTAAATAGGCTTGGTGTTACCATACACTCATCTCTGATTGGTTTATATTCTTAGATAATTGACCGGGGCTGGGATATGGACTAACCCAAAACAGGTACCTTGAGACTCCCCCGTTCCCAGCCTCCCAGCCCCTCCCAATAACGCAAGCTGGAGTAACCTCTTCCTCTTAAGGTCTCGCTCAACTCCATTATTCTCCCTTCTTTCATCCTTCTCCAATTTCTACAAGTCATTGTCTTCTTAGCTCATTGAAATTCCTACCCCTTGCTCCCCGATCCTCCCTTAGGTTCCTGAGGCAACATACCTCGTCTAAGCATCTGTGCGATCGCGCCCAAGGACTGATACCAGTCTCCGGTATGTACATAATTCTTTTATGCTTCAATAATATGTCCTACGATAATGATGCTGATAAGACATTAGTGCGAGGACCCGTTTCCCCACGGCTAAACCCTGTTAAACCCTTGTGGTGTTATCAAAGTGATATCTTATATCAACATCATGTCTCAAAACACCAACTCACAAAGTTCCCTGGGCGCACCTGCCGAGATCGTGCCTTCGACTCCAGTCCGGGCCACTTTGTCCCCGTCGCCAGAGCTCAGCGCTATGGCTAAGCGCCCATCGTCCGGATCGGATAAGAAGTTCCTCTCACCCCCGCCATTGTCGTCATCAGATATGACCCCTCCACCCTCATCTCAGATCCCAGGGGCCCCGCTTCGTTCTCGCTCCCACTCGCGCTCCTTGAGCCCTTCGTTGGTGAAACCCACCGATCTGGACAAGTCGTTGTGCGATGCCTACGGCGCCTCGGAGAACCTGCCCACCATGGAGGAAATCGACAACGCCAACGAAACCCAACTGCGCACTATTGCCAAGGAACTTTTAGCGGTAGCCCGAGAGTCGCGCATGTCTGCGCTGCACTTCAAACTGCAGAACAGCTTGGTCTCTTTCGCAAGCAATGAAGCTGTCAAGCGCGCCGAGGTGGAGCATCAGCTCGCCAAGCGCGAAGTTGAGATTCTTCAGAGCGCCGAGTACCGCAGCCGCTCGCACCCCGCAGATCCCATCACGCCCAAGCAGTCCCAATCTACCTTGAACTCCGACTATCTCTCGGCTGTTCAGCGCTCGCAGGAGTTAGAAGAACTTAATACTGTTTTGGACCGAAGACTTCGAAAGGCGAAACGTGCCATTGATGAAGCTAGCAGTCGGTCTATGGACCTTGAAGAGCAGAATCTCATGCTGAAGCGCCGCATTGGTGACAACCGCAAGCACTTTTCCCAGATCTTCAACTACGGCAGCATGTCGCCGGGCACTCAAAATGATATACACAATATCTGCCATGGTGAACACGCAGATGGTCTCGCAGCTCTTCTCTACGCCGATAAACTCACCAACCAGACGCACGCTTATGGTACTCACTCTACAACCTCCGTCCCCGTCACCCCGAACCACTCGAAGGGCCAGTACCTCACTCCAATTGGCCACCCAAGAGAGGATCACTATGATAGCGACAGCACCGTGTCTCTCTCAGCCTCCGAGGCCGCGGAAGAGGCTCTGGCCTCCCCGCAGCACATGCGCTCCACGGTTCCCAAGAGCAGCACACTGCTCCAGACAAAGCTGTTCGGCCAGGTGCAGAAACCCGGTGTGGAGCGATCTCGCCCTGGAAAGCGCAAGGCAGACAGTGACGCAAACGTTGCCGCCACAAAGAAGTCCAGGGCTACAAATGGCATTGGCCTGGGCATCAATGCTTGAGTCCATCACGTGCCACCAACTTTGATATGATTCATGACCTAGCGCTGCTTTGCTTGTTACGATTATTGGAACCTCACGAATGATGAAGACATGCCAAATGTGGTTCAAACCAGCGACTGTTTTTTTTGGGATTTTTTTGGGGATCTTTGTATGAAGAGGCCATGCGACAGTGAGCCGTGGCCCTTCACACGTGGCGTTATTAAATTGGATTTTCGGTCTGGGAATTATGGCCGATTGCTTGTTTCGCGCCAATTAGTCCCCGCGGACTTAGGGTGATGGCTATCTTGCAGCTATAGATGGGAATTTGGGATATGGGCTTGGGACGGTACAACCATGTACAATAGGCATAGAGTTTGAAGACCAACGACGAATTACAATCTTGAAAACATGAACCCGTCGAAAAGAAAATTCAAGTATGATCTCATTGAGCAACTCGATGCTTGATATCATAGCCAACAAGCATAAAACAAAAAATTAAAAAATAAAAAATAACTCTGGCAGATTACCGAATCCGGCTTGGTTAGGGCTCGCTAAGCGAGGCGGTGTGTCAGCCAGCGGGCGGCCACACGAAAAATGGGAACTTCATTTTCTGCCGTGAAGGAGGATTTGACCAGCAACCCTCGACGACCACCACCCGGCTCGATCCCCATCCGTCAACATGGTGCGTTCCCTATCCCTGCTTGGAAGATACGATGAAGGATTCGACTTGTGCGATTGAGAGAAATCGACGGATCGAAATACGCCTCGAAGAAATGGTAGACTGACCGGTTGTGTGTGGGATATATAGGCGATCAAGCACAACAACCAGATTCAGAAGAACCGTGAGTGCCCCGTCGCTTTACACCTCTATGTGATCGCTTCAAACCGAAAGACTTGGGAGATCAGACGTTGAAGGAACAATGATTAACGAATTCTTGAATAGACTTCCACAAGGACTGGCAGCGTCGTGTCCGTGTGCACTTCGACCAGGTACGACTATCCAACATTCCCCCGACCAGAGAATTTTTTTTATTCCAAACGACATCGCAAGCGACTTGGAATCGAGGAAAATTTTTCTTTGCAGGATATGAATTTGGCCGACTAACATGAATTGCATAGCCCGGCCGGAAGCACCGTCGTCGTGAGGCCCGCATCGCTAAGGCGGCTGCTGTTGCTCCCCGTCCGGTTGACAAGCTGCGTCCCGTTGTCCGATGCCCCACCATCAAGTACAACCGCCGCGTTCGTGCCGGTCGTGGTTTCACCCTCGCTGAGCTGAAGGTAAATTGAGCCGCATCGAAAGTGGAGGCGCTATGGAGAAACAACTCACTAACTTGAAATCCTTTTCGCGCTTTATAGGAAGCTGGTATCCCCAAGAAGCTTGCTCCCACCGTCGGTATCTCCGTTGACCACCGCCGCACCAACTACTCCAAGGAGTCCCTGGTTGCCAACGTCGCCCGTCTCCAGGACTACAAGGCCCGCCTGATCCTCTTCCCCCGCAAGAGCGGTCAGTTCAAGAAGCTCGACTCCTCCGCTGAGGAAGTCAAGGCCGTCAAGGCCACCGTCGCTGAGGGCAAGCGTGACGGTATCGCCACCCGTGTTGAGGCCACCTTCCCCATCACCAACCCCACCGCTGCTGAGGCCGTCACCGAGGTCAAGCGCGACTCGCTCCCCAAGGGCGAGGAGGCTGCTTACCGTCGTCTCCGCGACGCCCGCGCTGAGGCCCGCTACAAGGGTATGCGCGAGAAGCGTGCCAAGACCAAGGCTGATGATGAGGCCGCTGCCAAGAAATAAATGTGATAATTCCCTCCTCGTGCTGATGATGATGATCGGGTCGGTTTTCGAATCGGGGATTAGTGTACTGTGGCATGGCGTTGCGCCTCTTCCTTGATTCCCTCTCTCCCTCCCCAAACCTTACTCCTTTTTGTCTCTAAAAGAAAGAACTCGGAAGATCTCTCGAAATTCAAAACCGCCCAATTCTCTCAATTTTGGCTTTATGCCTTTATATCTTGTACTTTTGTGTCTGTCTAGCTGGTAACCCAGGCGTTTTATCTTGGGCTTCCAGCGAGGACAATATTAAGAGCTTCTTGTAGTTCATATCATTATTTACTTTGTAGCTTCGCTAGGGATGTAAATTTGTCTTCGACGCCTGGTCAGACGCGAATTACAGGATGTCTTTTCTGTATTCTCTTCCAAGACAGTGCCTATGACTACATACCTAGTATTGGACTCGTTTATGAAAATAGGAAAGTCGTATCTCATAAGTAACACTTCAGAGTAACACATTTAAACTTGCAGTCTGAGCTCTGCTCGGGTATCTTCAGAAAACTACGCTAAATCACCACTCTAACACTTAACGCTGACAATCGCACCAGAATAACGAAAACAATCAAAGACCGCCGAACAAAGCACTAAGAGCACCTTCAGTCGCTCTTACTACCGCGTCAACATGGATACCACCCTCCACACCTCGCATACTCGAAGCGCCGTCCTCACATAGCAACGCATAGAAAAGCTTCTTTGTCTCCTGGTCGATTTTCTTATCTACCCCAGGGATCGACACGCTGATCTCAGGCCGCAGCTGAGGCTCTCCGGTCCATTCATCCAACACTAAATTGTTTGATAAAAGCACTCGGGGACTGGAGTCAGAAGATTTAGGTTTGATGACCATGGCACTCCGGTCCAAATGTGGGACTAGTCGTCGCAGTTCAGAAATCGTGATAACACCGTGTTCGCTTTCCGAGGCAGTATCCTTTCTGCCCTGCAAGGCCCTAGGGCCATACTTGTGGTCAATGTGTGCCCACAAACGAGCGCGGGTGATTGCAGATTCCCAGTACCGGTTGATCCCCCAGCATAGAGTTGCCACGTCGAGTTTCAAGAGAGGGTTTTCTAAGCGGGTATCAATCCATCGACGGAGAGCTTCAGGGGCTTTTCTTTTCTTGCTGTCGCTGCCAGTAGGCACTGACAGGGAAGTTAAAGACTGGGTCTCGGGGTTTGTTTCGTAGACAACCGTCACGTTGTATGAACTTGCTGGGAATGGAGACGGGGGAGAAAATATTAGTGTGTGTCTCTCTAGCAATTCCTCCCTACGTGACGACCGAGTTGTACGGGTTTTGAGGGTCAAGGGTGCGAAGGCTGTTAGGTACGGCAGTGACTGAGAGGGTTTTTGCAGGGCAAATGGATTCGTTGGTAGCGATGATAATTCATATTGCGGGCGAGGGATATTGGCGGAGAACGGGAGTAAAGTGGCGAGAAGGGATGATATCGATCTAGGGGCTGTTTGGGGCACTGGGAGACTTGTACGGTTCGCCTCTTCCGATGTGAGTGAAGACCTAGAGGATTGTCAGCAGTATCTAAGCCAAAACTACTCGTGGAACCCACAGAAATTGATCGAGTCCTCTGGTGTCGCCTTTCAAGTCAGGATTGGACTCGATTTTCTTTGCCCATGATTCTAGTTCTGCAACTTCGTTTCTCAGCCGTCGCAGATCTGCAGCGCTCTTCTCGCGCGAATTGCGTTTCTCGCGAAGAGCCGCTGAAACTCCAATCAGGTCTAAAGTTGTCTCCAAATCCCCCGGTGGAGGAGATTGGAAGTTTACTGCCTTGAGTGGGCTCTCACGTAACGCATTGGCAGTTCGTCGTTTCGCTCGTCTCTCCTGTCGCCTACTAGGGCTGCTACTCAACATCCCTCTAGGTCGATCCGGGGCCTTTTCCAGACCTAGTTGTGTTGGCGTGGGCGGAAGATCGGGTTCGAGGACATCTTCATCCATAAAACTAGAGTCCGGATCTATATCCAGATCTGCTTCTCTTGTGGCGCTGCCCAATTCCAATTCCAATTGACGCTCTGGGGTATTCGACTCGGGATGTTTTGGTTGCGGCATTGGAGACCCAAACACCAGATCTCCTGGGAGTATCCTCCTTGAAATCCTGCGCGGGGGTTTCGAGAACGCTTGAACGCCGCTTGAGCGCCTGTTAGGGGAACTTTCGGGCGCTTCAGAGCCTCGAGGTCGAGTGAGGGGGCTTGCGGAGGCATTGAGCGAGGGTCGGAGCGCTTTGCGATCGCGTAATCCAAATGTTCGAGGATCTTGTTGCCCGCTGTCTTTGCTTGCTAGTCGTCGGGCAGGAGATCTGCTGATTGCGCGCTCTAATAGATCGGGATGTGATCTTGCGAGGCTAGCCCTCGTTGGAGATTGGAAGGAGGGCCGTCTCGACCGATGAAGTTCGTTTTGAGGAAGCTCTGAGGCCACAGAAATTCCCGTAGTCTCGCTAATTTTCCGTCTCTTCGCTGGGGAATCCATTGTCGCGTGGGGGTGTTCGTCTTGCCTGGCTCGCAGATGATGACCTCGGAAAGATAAACAACTGGCACTGTTTGCAGTGTTTGCACTATGACTTAATCCTCGTGGGCAATGCGGACGAACATCTAGACTTTCCCAACTCACACCATGGAGTGTCTCTCCGCAGGTACAAGATCCTCACTGCGGGTGTCTGTATCTCAAATCCGCCCTCGCCCTGCCATAACGTTTCCTTCATTTACTTCATATCGACAATATGTGCTGGTTCCGAGCCCCCGGCGCATGAACCGACGCGGACAATCCGACCAAGCCGATGCCTATAATACCCCAGCTTCCCTGGAGGAAATTGCGGACTCTCCTCAAGCCCACCCTCTGTCGGGATATTATTCATTGATATTGAAATCGAGCTCACCATACGGTGGTGGTGCAGCGACATCGCGCCCGACGCCCGCTCGGTCCAAGACCAAACCAACGCCGGCATCTACCGTCGCACCGCAATCGCCCCAAGAAAAAATGGCGATCGTATTTGGCACCCGTCTCGCCGGTCCAGGCCGATCCTCGCGCTACAATCCTGGCGAAGCTCCTCCGCGGTCAATGTGGAAAACTATAAACGGAGTCCCCATTCCTCCCCAACCCGAGGAACCGGACAACTGCTGCATGAGTGGCTGTGTACACTGTGTCTGGGATGACTTCCGGGATGAGATGGAAGACTGGGCATCCCGGATCGCAACGGCTAAAGCTAAAGGTGGGCCTGAGAAGGGAACGAAGGACATGCGCTCGGCGCCTCGAGCGGAAGTCCGCTCAGCCAGTGCAAGCATGGATGATGATGGCGGTGGCAGCGAAACAAATTGGACCCCGCCAAGTGAAGATAATGACCTGTTTGCCAACGTTCCTGTTGGTATCCGGGAGTTCATGAAAACGGAGAAAAGGTTGCGGGTGAAACATCAAAAGGAGGCTACAGTGTGAGCTCTTTAGGTTTGTGTTCTCTTGCTTGTTAATTTTTATACCCTGTTTTATACTACTTTGGAACAAATGGGGGAGCCTGTGTCTAGAGCGCATCAACGGATGGTATAGAGATAGACTGTACATAAGACACTTCAAAAATGCCATGACGTTTTTGTACCCTGTTCCAGAATAGACCATTAGAAACTATTGTAATGTGTACACTGGTGTAATTAGTGCAGTCGTTATATGATCCTTGAGCCTTGACCTCGGGAAGATCATTAGTATTTTGATATTTTGATAGTTGCTGTAGGTCAGTTAGTCGCGTGCCAAGGTCGGAGCTCAGGGCCCGGTTTTGCGAAAAAGAATCGATCATCTTCACTCGAGTCTGCACCCAGACATAATATCACGCGGTAGCCGGCGGACTCGCTGATCATATTTTGCTTCTGCTCTTCTTTCCCCCCGAGCTCCAAGGTTACTCCCCTAACCTGTGCCATGCGCGGGCCTACCCCGGACTTCCTTCGCTAGGGCCGTGAACCACCGATTTCTATAATGGCAACAGGCACGAGTGCCTGTGTCAACCTCCGGAACATCAAAAACGTGTGTTTATTTGCTCAAAATGAAGCCTGCTCCTCTGCGCGCCGGGGACTTCAGTTGAGGTTGCCAAAATTCTCAAGACGAAACATACACACAATTTGCTCGACTAGCATGCCAATTCGATCCAGTCGCAAGGTACGGCTACTAGATCCTATCATTGCTGGCAATCCGTCTGCACTCGAAGTACGCCAGCCAACAACGGGTGCTCACTATTCCACAACCCGTCCACCACTGCTTGAGTCGGTTATCAAGAAAATTGTTTCCAACAGAAACCCGCCGGCAGATGACCTCCAGCACGATTCACAGCGGGGCAGGCATTCATCGTCTAAAAATGGACGCATCCTCGGCGGCGAGCATGGTGAATTGAAGAAGTCTCAAGCTGTTAGTGTATGTGAAGCTCGTTGGGGGTTTCCCAATAAATCGAACACGTGCATATCTAATTTCATACCGCAGTTGGAAACCAGGGTTCTGGCACAGTTTTCTGAAGATCGATCAATATCAGCTAACTGTGAGGGACATGAACTAGCCCGAGAATCCTCCAGAGAGCATGGCAGTCGCACGAGCCTCCCATGGTTTGAGTTTTCCCTAAAAGGCCTGCAAGAAGACCTCCAGAAATCCCAGCCTGACCTGCTGAGCGACCCGCAACAATCTACATCCGCTCAGATTGCCACTATACAGCTACCGATCCAGCGTGATTTATTGTCTACAATCAACGAAAAAGCACGAAAGGTGCTTGAGAATGCCAATCGAGACATGCTTTCAGCAGAAGGCTTTAAGAGGAGGGAGGATCGATTGCAACCACGAACAATCCCTCTCGATGATCCAAATTATGTGGCGCAAAGGACGGCGAAGTTGCTGCAATTCAAGCACAAGGCCGACACCTGCCACAGGCTAGATTTCCTTGAACTGAAAAGAAAGAAACTTGAGCTGCCCGTGAGACATGTCGCGAAGCAAATTTTGGATGTCATCAACAGCAATACCTACAGCATTATTGATGGAAAGCGTGGCTCCGGAAAGACAACGCAGGTTCCCCAAATTATCTTGGAGGATGCGATCGACAATTCTACCGGAGTATCTTGTAGGGTTCTGTGTGTTCGGCCAAAAGAATCAGAGGCAGTCAATATGTCAAGACAAGTGGCCAGTGAAAGATTTGAAAAACTGGGTGATACTACTTGTTTTGGGTTGCCCGATCACGCTCCTTTGGGGGGAAGTATCACGTATTGCTCTAGGGACGCTTTGCTGAGAATGTTGAAAAATGGACCCGCCAGCTTGGAGCAATTCTCCCACATCATACTTGACGAGGTTCACTTACGTGGTTTCGATATCGACGCGGGCATGATGCTTTTGAAACGATTTGTTGAACAACGCAAGTCTATCGGTGCATATGTACCAAAGGTCATTCTGATGGGCTCATTTCCTCAGGTCGATAGTCTTTGTTCCTATTTTGGTACCAGAACTACAGATGACACGGTTTTGCCTGCTCCTCATGTGACTATTCCTATGGGCTTCCCTGTGGAGAAGTATTATCTCGAAGAAGTAATTGGCAACATCGCCCATTCTTTGACACCGAGCATCCTACGGCCTCTCCTTAAAGACAAGGCTACACAACATTTCCTGGACAGACATTTCAAATTCATTGAAGAGTCGGAAACCCTGGAAACCAACAGGCTTCGCCCAAATGTCGTACCTTGCGGGTTGATTTCTGCGACTCTTCTCTCGCTCTTGTCTACAACAAAAACAGGTTCCATCGTTGTCTTCGTCCCACAGATTAGGTACATTCGGAGAGTCATAGAGCAGATCACAACCTTCGGCCCAAAGCTAGGATTCGATTTTGCAGATAAGAATCGATTCAGAATCATTCAGTTGCATGAAAATACGACAGAAGAAGAAGAAGCCGAATTTGACCTTGGAATCCCTCCGGGATGCCGAAGACTTATCATTTCAAAAGGAAGGAGCAATTTCACAATTCCAGACGTGAGGTACGTTGTTGACTCTGGCAAGTCAAGTCACCAAAAGCACGAGAATCAGGAGAAATCCAATAATTTGGCGCAAGACCATGGACCAGCTGCTTGCTGGATTAGTCAAACTGTCGCCTTGCAGCGGGCAGAGTGTGCAGGCAGAGTCCAGGCTGGAGAGTACTACTTCCTTGGTGCCAAAAAGTGTTTTGATTCCCTTTCAGTTACCAGCGCTCCAACGACCTGGCCCGCTCGCTCAGGTCTCCGACAAGCCTGTTTGCATTTTAAGCGAGCGACCTCTGGAACGTCCCTCTCAATCGCAGAATTTTTCGCTCAAACCTATAAGCCACCTCGAGAATCCGTCGTTCGTGCTGCAGTGGATGATCTGAAGGAATTGCAGGTATTGGACGAGCAGGAAGAACTCACCGCTCTAGGCCATCTTCTCGCCGATTTGGATATGGATCCATGCTTTGGCAAGATGGTTGTTCTGGGTATTATTTTCAAATGTTTGGACCCAATGCTGATCCTTGCGAGTCTGGGGTGGAACGCACTTACTTTACCAGCAGAGATGACTGGATCACTTCATTCTATGCACAAATTGGACCATCATATAGCTACCATCGGTACCTTTAGGGTCGTTCAAGGAAAGTTGCGTAAGGGCGAACTTTCGGCTTTTAAGGATGCAGTCCCAAAAGACCATATGTCCAACCTATACCATACAGTGACTCTGGAAATTAAGCGAATTATCAAGAGATTGATCGCAGCCAAAATCCTCCCTGCAGACAGCTTGTACGGCGACAGGGGCTTTTGGTCTAGTTGCACCAATTTGAATGCCCGTTCCAGGGATAACGCTCTTATCAGAACACTCTTGCTGCAATGTCTTTCCTCCAACCTAGCTGTGAAACCCTTTGGCGAAGAGAACGTCAAATTCAAATCCGGGAAGACAGCTCAAAATGTTTTTACTACGTCCAGAGACAAAAGCTTTATCATGGTCTGCAACTTCAGATCGGTCAGCGCAAGCATGCCGCATAGGTCGAAACAAACCACCCGGGTCAACCCACTGGCCGCCTGCCTCTTTGGGAACAAGATAGAACAGGAGGAAGATGCTGTTATCTTGGATTCGTGGGTGAAAATCAAACTGCAAACTGTGGGAGGCACAGAAAATGAAATTGCCAAGTCCTTGGTTCAAACACACAGAGTCCTAAATGAGGTCAGTATGTTCTTGTGGTTATTCAATTCGTGGGCTAACCTTGAAATCCCGCAGGCCCTTCAAACTGCCTTTAAGATACTCCCTCGCCAGGGAAGGGCAAGCTTCGGCTCCTCAGAAGAATGGCATTCATCTCTTAAGGCTCGCAAGTGCTTTTTCAACACGATTCGGAACATACTGCGAGATATTCTTCATTCAAATCGTCAGCCTCTGGGCCAGAGCATTAGAAAAGGTATATGAACTACCACATGGATACAGAGGACACACGCATAAATGGAGAAGACATGTACAACACATAGACACATATTTGTGATTAGCATGATAGTATAAAATTGTTCTCTGGCCCAGTTCCAAAATAAACTTAACCATTTGAGAAGACCACCCGTTAACATACGCTTGTAGGAGAATTATTCCATATGGACGTAGGCTGTGTCTGATTTTATGCTGCATTTCCTGTGCAGAATTCATATTTACATACTCTCTGCATAAAAGAGGTACATAGTAACATGGTAGCCCCTCACACAATCATAAATCCCAAAGAATAAATCTTAGATGTATCTTTTGTATATCATGCCCATACAGACGATATAAAATTCATAGAACACACGTTTGGCACGGTTACATTAGCTTGGAACACTAGCTCCTCTAACGGTGTCTTATACTAGATACTCGAACGTCTGATACTTATTCAAAATGTCTGAACAATGTCTTACAAGCATCTAGCTGAAGACTAAACCCAAATTTCTTTGGAAAAGGGGGAAGGCTTCTCGGATCAAAGGACGAGTCTCTCTCAGTATCTATTTAGACTAGAACTAAGCTGCGAGACTATGTACAGATGCCCGGGCCCCTTGTTAAACCGGAATAGTGCCGTGCAGAGTGCGGGGCCTCGATTCATGGATCACTATAATGAACAGAATGTTGAGCATTATTTTTTTATGTCACACAGGTGAGAGTGACAAGGGTGAAAGGAGGAGTATAAGTACCCTCAGAATGTCGAGGATGGTTGTGAATATTCTCGGATATTATGCTTGATAACCCTAATTATGGCGGTTACTCCTGGTCTTTCAGCGCTTTTAAAAATGCAAGACTTCCCAAATATAGCTCTTACTTTGCTAAAGCTGAGCTTGATGTTGGTAAGCGCACACTGGTCTGCCAGGTTGTTTCACTGGGATTCGACTAACCAAGGACGTACTTCTAAATAGATCCCACTATATCTCGTCGGTCTCCTGGTCTATAATGTCTACTTCCACCCACTGGCCAAGTATCCTGGGCCAAAATCCATGGCAGCCACACGTCTACCTTATATCCGCATGATCCTAGGTGGCCGGTTCCCACAAAAGACCAAAGCATTGCATCAACAGTACGGCGATGTAGTTCGCATTGCCCCTGATGAACTTTCTTTTATAGATGGCGCAGCCTGGAAGCCAATCTATGGCACGCGTGTCGGCCATGGCCAGAAGTCCAAAGACTATCGATTCTATGCACCAACCCCTGGAGAAGCTCCCAGCATCATCGTCTCCAATGACGCCGATCATTCTCGCTTTCGACGTTTGTTGTCGCACGCATTTTCCGAAAGCTCACTGCGCGTTCAGGAACCCATAATCAAGGGTTACGTCGATCTTTTGATGCAGCGCCTGCATGAGAATATCGAGGGTGGCACCAAGACCGTCGACATGGTGGCCTGGTACAACTTCACAACCTTCGATATTATTGGAGACCTGGCTTTCGGAGAGCCATTCGACTGTCTCAAGAACTTGGAGTACCACCAATGGGTGTCCATTATCTTCAGCTCGCTCAAGTATGGCGCCTACGCAAATGTGTCTCGGCGCCTCCCGGGATCGAAATACATACTCCCGTACATTACTCCCAAGCATGTTCTTTCGCAGAGGAGTGCGCACCTAGCCTTGACCAAGGAAAAGGTTGAGCGTAGGATAGGTAAGTCTAATGGAAGACCTGACTTCTTCGGCAACATTTTGAAGCATCAAAACACCGAGAAAGGATTCAGCGTCCCAGAAATGATCACCAATGGGAGTACGTTGATTATTGCTGGCTCCGAGACCACTGCAACTGTGCTCTCCGGGGTGACCTATCTGCTGCTGAGAAATCCACGGGTTCTGGCAAAGCTTCAAGACGAGATCCGATCAGCATTTACAAAGGAAGAAGAGATCACCTTGGAATCCTGCAATAAACTGGAGTATTGCCTGGCTGTCCTCACTGAGGCTCTTCGACTGTATCCTCCCGTTGCAGTTGGATTACCTCGCATTGTTGATGCCCAAGGTGATATGATTGCTGGAAACTGGGTTCCAGGAGGGGTAACTACAACCTTGGAAAGCTTGCTTGGAAAGCCATACAGCACCGCTCACACCTTTTATAGACAGTTGTTTCCGTCTCTCATCTCGCTGCCAGTCACTCCCCTGCCAACTTCACCGATGCAGACCAGTTTATCCCAGAGCGTCACCTGGGCAACCCTCGCTTTGCGAATGACAGTAAAACTGCAATGCAACCGTTCAGTTTTGGTCCCAGGAACTGCATTGGACGCAAGTAAGCTCTCCACTTGTCGTTTTATTCGGTCTTTGCTCATATCTATTTCTCCAGTCTGGCATACGTCGAAATGCGTATCATTCTCGCTCGCATGGTCTTCAACTTCGATATGGAATTGGCCGAGCCTGGAAAGGACTGGGTGGATCAAGACTGCTTTGTGCTATGGAACAAGCCAAAGCTGATGATTAATCTAAAGCCGAGAGTTCATTCCCAATGAAGTTGATGGCACCGATGCTACACTTCTATAGGGGTTTTGTGCATGAAAGACCCGCGACGTTGAATCTTGGTATCAGATTGGATTTCTGATGGAAACACACAAGAAGAGAGGGATACGCTCACGTATGTTTGGGCTTCTCGTTATAGTATTAAGGTTAAGCAAGCAATCAAATTATCATGGCAAGTTATATTAGCGGAAGAGTGCCCGGGACATTTCGATATGATAGATGTATTGGTGCCTAAGGTGTCTAATTTTGATTGCACAAGTAGATTTCATGGTTATTGAGGATTTGTCGCTGGTATAAGCTAGTTCTCGTTATATATTCTCATGGCATGATCTTCCACTGGTATCCCATCCCGCCTTATTTCAATCGGTTACATCCGTGAGCAACATCCATAGTTCATCTGAACTTCGAACATCCAAAAAAAATGGATGTATAGACAATATGAGTTTCTATGACTACAAAGGCCTCTAGTTACTAAATGTATATTACTTAACATCGAAGCATTTCTCAATAAATCCAACTGACTCAACATAGCATAGCCACTCTGCATCTGGATCTCAATTTATAGATACATGCTCACCGCCTCCGCCATATCGGCAGGAAAAAAGGCACCGCAGATCCCAACTGCAAAGACCGACTCGAATCCGCCAATAACTCATTGAGGACAAGGGAACCAACATGTCACTCTCTAAAAGCGAGTCCGATGTAATCCTCAACCGGGCCAATGTCGCCCTATCCCGCAGCCAACGGCTCGTAGCCTCATGGCTACCGCAACAAACAACAGAAGAGCTAGCAAACCCCAAGTCCGACGAAGAGCTCCAACGAGAAGAAGATGAAATCTTTACCGCAGTGCCAGAGACGTAAGTGCTGCTCCAGCCTTCGACCCTACAATCCAAGCCTATCTTTTACCAATGTCACCAATTCCACAGAATGTACCCTACAGACCCACCAACTAACCACATTCCCTAAATCACAGTCTCGGCGTCGGAGCGCCCCTCCCCCAGAAAGCAGCAGACGGGAGCTGGAACCGCACAGAGCTGGACTCAAATGATAAACTGCGCAAACAACTCCTCGGCAAGAACTACGATCGCGTTATGAAGGCCGCTGCCGAGCAGAAGGCGGCGGCTGCTGCTTCTACGGCCGCGGCTGCGTCTGCTTCGGCTAGTGCGGCGAAAGCTGACGTCGAGGACGAGTATGATGAAGAGGATGGTCGGTCGGCTATGCTCGCTAAGCAGAAGAATAAGAGGAAGGGTGGAGCTGGGGCGGGTCGCGGTGTGCATCCTGCTGCGGCGGTTGCGGCTGCTGAGGCCGGAGATAAAGGTAGTGAGGAAGGTGAACGTGACGGTGCTCCGGCTCCTGCGCGCTCGAAGGGCAGGAAGAAGGCAACGAGTTATCTTGATGAGCTTTTGGCTGAGCGTGCGAAGAAGAGGAAGAAGAGGTGAAGATTTGCGGTTGGTAGGTTCGATTCTATGTTCTCACGCACACGAGCGTTGCGCGAGCTTTCACTGGCTCCGAATATTCTGGATGGATTAGGCTTTGATATTGGTCGCTTTGGATGCGCCGGACACAGCGATTGAGCCGTTGAGTCAGGTGAAAACCAATACCGGCCAGAGCGGATTTCCTGCCGGAGTCCTCACTTTGCCAGCGGCAGAGAATACAGCGCAGTGTCCCTTGGCTAAAAACGTCCAAGGGAGACCGAATACATATTCCAATGGCAACTCAGCCGAGTGCCATACTGTGCCACGTGCCACTCCGACGAGACACCGAGATCAAACAGTCTGCAGAGAAAAAACATCATTCCAATTGATATAATCAAACTGCGAATATAAAATACAATTCAATTCCAGTCTCTTGCTCTAGATGCCACAAGATTCAATGTTTTTTTTCTGCTCCGCCCGACCCAAGGGTATATATGATATGATGTGTGAAAACGAAGTATGGGCCCGGAGAGCGGTGGCCCAGGCACCGCTATTGGCGTACCTTGGCCAGAATTAGATATCCAAAAATAGAAAAGATGAGAGGTGAAGGAGAAGAAATAGGTGAAAGGGACATCTACAGGCGCAATTAAAATCGAAATCAGAGGTGCGGACATTCTTCAGATGTCTGGAGATGAGTGCCCTTTGCTCTGGTCAATAGTACATATGCAGGTCAAAAGAGCAGGGGAAGAAGAAGGAAGTGCCATGGCTTGTCGGTGGTATAGGGACTTGATGGGAGGAGAATGTAGTGCCACCACTGGTGGAAGGTGGGATTCTTGGAATCTTCGAATACTCAGAATTTATTCCAACCGCTTCCGCTTACGGTCGTCTGCCATCGCCTGCTGGTCCTCGTCGGGTCTTTCGGCAGTATCGGCAGGATTGAGCAATGAATGCACATTGCTTGCCATGCTCGAGCGGCGGGTCGCGGGCAACGAAGAGCCGTGAGGAAATCTTGAGCCGCCCAGTGTCCAGCCGTTGTCGACACCGAGCATGGACGGGGAAGGTTCAGCAGTGGGTGGAGTGGCTTGGCGAGATTGTTCTTGAAGGCGGCGGGGAGCACCCATTTCGTATTGGGCGAGGACGTCACGGACTTGCTGGTCACTAGAGACTGGGGTTCGGTGCCCTGGTGATGAAGGCCAAGGGCCATTTGGGAGGTTGCCGGGGGGGTAGGGGGAGCCAGCCGAGGGGGACCAGCCGTGCTGTCGGATGTCCGCAGACGTGTGACGACGGGTCAGGTTAGGCCCTGGGGATGTTGATACAGAGAGAGGATGGGGCGTCGGTTGCTGCGGGGGCGGCGCAACGGGAGGTTGCGGGCGAGCGTATGTTGCAGAATTGGCGCCGCCAATCGAGCCGTAGCGGCGAGGGGATACTGAGAGATGGGGAGGGACGGGCGGCCGGATCATGTTGTTGGGTCTAGGTGTGTGGTCCATCATGGACTGTCGACGGGCATCGTCCTGGGGCATTTGGCGCGGGGACAAAGGTGGACCGGCTTCAGTCATGTTGCCGAAGTATTGTTGCCGTGGAGGCATTAGAGTCTCGTGAGGGGTTTCGATAGCGCGCGTTATTTCGATATGTTTCTCAACTTCTCTTTGCATGCTCGAGACTGGGGAGTTGTCAGTGCTTGTCATCGTGAGGGAAGCGGCAATATTGACATACCATCACGATGTAGAGGGCTTTCTCTATCGGGCACAACAGCTTGAAGAAACCGCGAAATAGAATGCGTCCACTAAAATCAAGTTAGCACCAATACACCCCGCACTAACATAGACGGCGGGCATACTTGGTAGCACTTTGTCAGGCTTTCGGTCATAGCATGACACCTCGAGTTCAGTGTCATATTGCCTTCCTCCGCCCGAGCCATACGATCATACAGATCAAGGATGTTTCGCTCCATGTGTATCATTTTGGCTTCGGTCGCATCATGTACGGGTTCAGCGGGTGTTCCAGGCTGCGAAGCAGGAGCCTTGTGGCCAGGGAATGAATCGCGGTGGATCAAAGCGTGCCTCGAAGCACGGCGCTTGATCTCTCGCAGACCAGCTAGATCGCCTCTTTTGAAGTTCCCATTGCCATGTTTAAATTCCCAGAGCGCAGAATCTGGGGACCCGGTGTGAAAGACGTCGCTCACTAGCAGAATCAAGAATGGTCAGAAATCGCCCAACCAAAGCTAGCATGCGAAACACCCACCTTTGTGAAATCCATACATATTCAGCTGGCGAACGAACGAGGAGATATTGGTATGCTTGAAGTACGATCTGCGAGGGTCAGGGACGAGTTTATTGGCAGAGAGGATAGCACCCACGCTAGGACTTTGGAGAATTCCGACGTTGGCGACATGACGAAGCTA